AGTCAAAGACACTGAAATTGAGAACATGCTGACAGTCACCAGAGGAGAGAGTGGGGGGAATAATTGGGGAAAAGGGTGCAGGGTTATAGTAATAATTATAAAGGACATGTGGACAGTAACAAGGTGGGGTGGAAACAGGGGAGGGAGTTAAGGATAGCCGGGGTGGTGGGGAGATTTGTGGGGGAAAGGCTGAAAACTGTACTTGAAACAACAATAAAAATACACCCGTTCTTCTTTTCCATTAAAAAATAAAGCAAACAAGATACAATCAAACCAGGGCCATGGCTATCTAGCTGAGCAGCAGGATGGATTTTTGTATGTGCAGACTAGGATAGCCTAAAATTTGTTTCCTGGAACAACTGACAGGGGAGGTGCAGTACTTTGAAGAACTGGTTACTGCAATCAGTCATTGCCCCCTGGTGGATGATTGATACCTAACCAGAAAGTTGACAACAAGGGAAAAGATCTTGTAATGCACTGTGGGGAATTGTTGTAGAGATGGCAACCTAAACATTTCCATATCCATGGTCTTGGATGATAAATTAACATCTTTAATCCTCTTACACACATTTTGCTGATGTCATGTGGCATTGACCACCCAACAGCAGTTCCCTCTAGTTTTTAACTTTAACAAATTGGCTAAAAAATCACTAATACTCAAGTGCTATATAAAATATAGAGTTCTGAGTTGTCTGGGAAGAATTTTTCTAGCCCTGTGTAAAGTGATGTTAATTACAGGATTGCATATTGATTCAACAAATATTTAGTTGCTGTTCTGTACTATTAATTCTAGATAGAGATATGAAAAGAAATAATTCAAAGAGTTTACAACCATGAAGACTGCTTTCTCATACTTGTTTCTCTCTTATCCTCTTGGATGTCAGAAGAAATAAGATTTTTTAAATTAAGAAATGTCCATTGCTAACAACATTAACATTATATTATTACTATCCAAACAACTTCTCCACTTTAGATTTTCTATTAACATTCTACCTAGGGCTCTGTAATCACCTGTATTATGTACCATTTTAAAATATAACTAATAACTAATGACTAGAAATACTTCAAATCTTAAGTATGTTTTTTTCTAGAAACTGTATTTTAACTATGCTTGCTTAATTAACACTAAGGCTCCCTTCTTGTTTCATATTCTAGAGTTATGAAGGAAACAATAAATCTTGGAATTATCATCTAAGAGGAACTATTGACATAGTTAGTTAGAGTCATTCTAAAGACAGAATTTCCCCATATATTTGGAGCAAATTTCCATCTTGTGATACCTGACCTTCAACCCAAAACATATAAAATTTGGCAACTTTCTGACTAGGTTAAAATTAGACCATTATCATGGTCAGATTTTCTTTTTTGTAATATATCTTATTGATTATGCCATTACACTGGTCTCATTTCCCCCCCTTCATTCTCCTCCACCCTGCAAACCCCCTCCCCCCATTCCATCCCTTTAGTTCATGTCCATGGGTCACAAGTTCTTTAGCTTCTACATTTCCCATACTATTCTTGCCCCCCCATCTATTTTCTACCTATCATCTATGCTACTTATTCTCTATACCTTCTCCCCCCTTCTCCTCCTCCCACTTTCCTGTTGCTAACCCTCCTCATGATCTCCATTTCTATGGTTCTGCTCCTGATCTAGCTGTCCACTCAGTTTGCTTTTGTTTTAGGTGTGGTTGTTAATAACTGTGAGTTTGCTGTCCTTTCACTGTTCATCTTTTTGATCTTCTTTTTCTTAGGTAAATCCCTTTAACATTTCATATAATAAGGGCTTGGTGATGATGAACTCCTTGAATTTGATCTTATCTGAGAAGCACTTTATCTTTCCTTTCATTCTAAATGAAAGCTTTCCTGGATAGAGCAATCTTGGATGTAGGTCTTTGGATTTCATGACTTGGAATACTTCTTTCCAGCCCCTTCTTGCCTGTAAGGTCTCTTTTGAGAAATCTGCTGACAGTTTGATGGGAACTCCTTTGTAGGTTATTGTCTCCTTATCTCTTGATGCTTCTAGGGTTCTCTCTTTCATTTTAATCTTGGCTGATGTAATTATGATGTGCCTTGGTGTGTTCCTCTTTGAGTCCAACTTCTTTGGGACTCTCTAAGCTTCCTGGGCTTCCTGGAAGTCTATTTCCTTTGCCAGATTGGAGCAGTTCTTCTTTATTATTTGTTCAAATAAGTTTTCCACTTGTTGCTCTTCCTCTTCCCCTTCTGGCACCCCTATAATTTGGATGTTGGAACGTTTAAAGATGTCCTGGATGTTCCTAAGCCTCTCCTCATTTTTTTTGAATTCTTGTTTCTTCACTCTTTTCTGGTTGGTTGTTTTCTTCTTCCTTCTGGTGCACTCCATTGATTTGAGTCCCAGTTTTCTTCCCATCACTATTGGTTCCTTGTGCCTTTTCCTTCATTTCACTTAGAATAGTCTTCATTTTTTTCATCTAATTTGTGACAGAACCAACGAGTTCTGTGAGCATCCTGATCACCAGTGTTTTGAACTGTGCATCTGATAGGTTGGCTGTCTTTTCATTGCTTAGTTGTATTTGATCTAGAGCTTTGATCTGTTCTTTTTGGGCCATTTTTTTTTTGGTCTTGTTTCACCTATTACATATGAGGGGCAGAGCCTTAGGTGTTCACCAGGGTAAGGCAACTCACAATGCTGGGTTGTGATGCTGTTTGTGGGGTAGGGGTCCAAGAGGAAACAATGGCACTTGCTCTGCTCTCTGTCAGATTTCAGTCCCTTCCACTGCTTCTCTCAAGCAAACTGGGCCCTTTTCTCATATTGGAGGGTTTGTGTACATTCTGGGACCCTGTTGATCTCTCCAATGAACTCTCCTGTGAGGCTGAGAGTCTATCCTGGCACCTCAACCCCCACAGGTGTTTTTAATCCATGTTTTGAGGCTTTATTTCTTTGTGCTTGGACCCTTGGTTGCTTAGTCTATCTCATTCTACAATTTTCATGTGGTTTATCTGCACACAATTGTGGGACTGCCTGGTTAGCCAGCTGCCTTGCATGCCATGTTCCGCTTCACAATTGCTGCCTTGCTTGGTCTGCTCTTTGCCACCCTGCACCTGGGGTCTGTCTGCCAGCCTCTGCCTATGTGCCTAGTGTCCATCCTCTCCTGTCTTGTGTGCCCGGGGTTTGTCAGCTGCTGCCTTGCATGTCCAGTGTCACTGCTTTTTTCTGCTGACACCCTTCTCTGGCCAGCTGCCCAACTGTCCCTCCTACAGGTCTGGATGAATGTGTCTATTTTAAGGTTTTGGTTGTTGGACTTTCATACAGTTCAAGTTTCTGTCAGTTCTGGATATTATTTTGTTTCTAAATTGTTGTTGTCCTTATTTTGGTTGTGCAAGGAGGCACAGTGTGTCTACCTACATGTCCATATTGGCTGGAAGTCTAAAATTGTATCGGTGTTTCAGGATTCTTAAAGTATAATCCCAGCAGTGAAATTGCCAGGTCAAAAGGCAGTTCCATTTTTAGGTTTTTTAGAAAATTCCATACTGTCTTCCATAGTGGCTGCACCATTCTGCAATCCTACCAACAGTGTACTAGGGTTCCATTTTTTCCACAACCTGGCCAGCACTTATTTTTTGTTGATTTTTTTATGATGGCCATTCTGACCAGTGTGAAGTGGAATCTCATTATTGTTTGACTTTGCATCTTTTTGATCAGTAGTAATGTTGAACATCCTTTCATATATCTCTGGGCCCTCTCTATGTCCTTGGAGAAGTGTCCATTCAGGTCCTTTACCCATTTTTTAATTGGATTGTTTTTCTTCCTGGTGTGGAGTTCTGTGAGTTCTTTATATATTTTGGAAATCAAACCCTTGTCTGAGATGTCATTGGCAAATATATTTTCCCAGATGGTTGGTTCCTTTTTCATTTTGATTATATTTTCTTAAGGCATGGATAGGCTTTTTAATTTGATGTAGTCTCATTTGCTTATTCTTTCCTTTATATCCCTTCCTTGTTCTGGGGCACGGGTGGCAAACACAAGGCCCATGGGCAAAATCTGGCCTTCCACCTTGTTTTATCTGGCCTGGTACCTTGTTTCTACCTGATGGCAGTGCCAAGCTCTCGCTTAATTGTTAAGGAGTAGTTACATTTACACAGTCCTAAAATTGTATTCACTCCTTTGTGGAAACTGTGAGTCTGATATGGCCCCTAGTGAAAATGAGTTCAACACCCTGCTCTAGGGGACATATCAGTGAAAATATTGGTGCATTGAATATCTGAGATTTTCCTGCCTATGTTCTCCTCTAGGACTTTTATGGTGTCTCAACTTATATTTAAATCTTTTATCCATCTTGAGTTTATTTTTGTGCCTGGTGTAAGTTGGTGGTTGAGTTTCATTGTTTGGCATGTAGCTATCCAGATCTCCCAACATCATTTGTTGAAGAGGCTATTTTTACTTTGTTTTATGCTTCTTCCCCCTTTGTCAAATATTAATTGACTGTAGAGACATGGGTTTATTTCTGGACTCTCTATTTGCTCCATTTATCTATGTGTCTGTTTTTATGCCAGTACCAGACTTTTTTGATTACAGTGACCTTGTAATATAATTTGATATCAGGTACGCAATTATCCCTCATACTTTGTTCTTCTTTCTCAAAATTGCAGCTGCTATTCAGGGTTGTTTATGGTTCCATAAACATTTTTAAAATGTTTATTCTTTATCTGTGAGATATGTCATTGGCATTTAATTGCATTGAATCTATAAATTTAAAATTTTTAAAGGAAAAGAACACCAAATTAATGGAAAGAGAAGCACTTTATCCAGAGGCCACCACCACTACCTACATTATCTTGTCAATAAATAAGCAAAATGTGTTTTCTAATGGTGGAAACACAGCTCCTGAGCTTATCAGTTGCTGGGGTTTGAATATATTTAAACCTACAAATAATAGAAAAGATCTTTAGGCAAAAAAACCACCTAAGATCCCACCTGTACCTGTTGATAGGATTTCACACCAGGACTTTCTAACACCACTTACATCATGTAGGTGAAAAATGTGCTCAGGGGCTCCAGGGACTGAATTCAGAAATGCTTAAATTCTCTGTACAACTTTTTCTTCATCTCGGTGTCAATTTTGGAAATGGTGAGAGGGTCCATTTGACTTGCCAAGATGTTGCCATAGTCAGTGGTCTGGAGATGAACTTTCAGATCTTAAATTAAGTGAGATCCAAAGCAGGTTACATTTTGAACATGCATGAATAGACTTTACAACATTAATGGAATTTATATTAACTTTATTATAAATGCATATTTAATTATTTTAACTTTATTAGACCTTAATGTGCGATCTATATATCATTTAGATGAGCGTAATATTTCTCCTAAACAAGAAATAATTCAGTATTAGTGCAGTACAATATACACACTCTCATTACCTAAGAAATCTAGACTTATTTAGCACAACTGTAAAGAACATTAACAATCTCCTGGTGCAGAGATGGCAAGTAGGTTTTATTGGAGCCAGTTTTAGTTGTTGGAAATAGCTACTCAGAAAACTGTTGAAAAGGAAACTAAGGCCCAGCTTGATGGGAAAGAGACATTTATCGGTAATGTGTGCCAGCAGTGTAGGAGGTGGGATGGGTAGCTGTCAGTCCCTCTTTATTATAGATTAAGAAACTGAGTCTCAGGGGTGAAAAGGTGGAGTTAGTAGCAGAGCTTGAACTGGGAGATGGGTCTCCTTACTCTTAAAATCTAAAATCATTTCCGCAGGACCATGCTAACATCCTTTAAACAACAACGTTTTTGGCTACCAGATAATTGAATTAAATTCCAACTTCATTTACTATGGCTTTACTCCTGAGCAAACCATATGTTTTCCAGCATTTATACTTTTGTTAATACTGACCCCACCCTACTCTCCAGGAGTCCCTTCACCTTTTTCCAGAGGTTCTCACTCTAATGAATCAACATTGGAACAATGGTTACTAATGACTAAGTGCTTAGTATGTACCAGGCTTTGTAGTAAGCATGTATTATCTCATTTATTGCTGATGGCAATTCTATGAGGCGGGAATGGTGTTTATCCTCTTTTACATATAAGAGCTCCGATGCTCAGAGAGGTTAATAATTTGCTCAACAACACAATGATAAACAAATTCAAAGCCAGATTTATCTCATTCTGAAGCCACTTAAAATCTGCATTTTCTTGCCAATCAATTAAATTAGGTTATTAATTGTTCTGGATGTGGTAGCTTGAATTCTGTCCGCAGAATTATTCCTTCTCACACATTTGAATTTCAAAATTCTTTGATGATACTTCTAGCATAGCACCTTTCAAAAGATGTTACATAGTCTTAAGTATGTTAACTCCAAATAAGCTGTTACACTAGCTTAGTTATCTCCTTTTTTGTGGCTCCTCATGAAGCACCCATTGTTAAAGTTTTGTTAAGTATCCGAATATCAAAAATGTCTTTGGCCCCATCTACCACACAAATGAGGGCCAATATACCATCTTGGAACTAATTGGATTCTTCATTCAAATGTTGATTAAGCATTTACTATATGCTGTTACTACAGGAGACCCCCAAATGGGCCAGATGTATTCCTTATCCCTAAGAAAATGCAATCTGATTGGAAAGGCACCACAAAGAGATAGTTCAACCACCAGCTAAGTTCAGTGATGGAGATCAGGACCTTAACTAATGGCAATGCAGACAGTGAGAGCCAGGTCCACAGAGATAGGAGCAACATAGCTGAGGAAAGTTTCTTGGAGGATGCTAAGTCAGAGATGAGCCTTAGGTGTCAGGTAGGAGCCAGAGGAAGGCATCCCATGAATTAGTGCAGGTATGGCAGGTGCCATAGCTCACAACAGTTCCATGTTGTTGAAGCTTCAAGGGAGAAGGGTAAGTAAGAAATGAATCTAGAGAGGTAAGGAAGTGCATCCCAAGGAGGTCTAGGTAGGACATCTTTTATCCTGGAGACAACAGGGAGCTGCTGTGGGCTGTGAGCTGTGGGCTGTATATGTGTGTGGGGAGGGTGGTAGTTGCAAGGAGGCATCTGTGATTCTTAAACATGAGATTCAGTGGTAGGTCTTCCTCCTCAGGATCTGGAGTAGATTATACATCAAAAAAGCTGTTTACTGCAACAATACTTGCTCGATTACCTATTTAATTAACTGATTTTAAAAGTACACCTTTTTTGTTAGTTAGGTCTTTTGGCAGTTCAGAGTTTTATACTATTTGACAGTTGCATTCTCCAAGTTTAAGACTGTTTGCCAAAAGAAGAATTACAAATGACATTTTTTTCAAAACCATGGTATGTTGCTCATATGACATATGTTTCTTTTAAGCAGAAAACTTCCAAAACTTTCAACTGGCTGGGACATCCTGCAATTAGATGTGTCCAGTGGTTCCTAACTCATGGGAACACTGGACAGCTGTATGTGATGGGCAGGCAAATGCAATAGAGGAGACCTCCTGGTCCAGCACCAAAAGACCCAAGGGACACTTGGTCTTTGTATTCAGAGTCTAAGGAAATCTTAGAATTGGAAATGTTTGCTCTCAGATAACAATGGACTGCCAATAATAACAGTGATGCTTATATGTATAGACTTATAATTTTCAAAATGGGTTCAGTCATTTTTCCCTGCATTTTCTCAAGTGCTTATCAAAATAAGTATCTCTGTGGTCAAATGCACTTGGAATGAACAGGCTCTTAAATGAAGGAACTGAAAGTTCATATGGCATTCATTTGAGTGATATTTGGTACAGAATCTCCCCAGCCACACAGCACACTCCAGAAAATTATGGTGTTTTTCATTTAGAAGTTTTGTGGCAAGTGGCATTTCTCCCTTCTTTATTCAACGAGGAAATGAAATGTTCTCCAAACTATGGTATGACTACAAAATAAATCAGTTTATTCAGCCCAAAACAGCAACAGAAGGAGAAAAACAAAAACCTTGATTGGGATCTTACAACAAATACCAGAGCATATCACACAGAAAAGTGTGTATATGTACAGGTGTGTACCCAGGGTTGTAGTGACAAATGGGTCTCTGGTCACTGGGCTTGGTCACTGGGTTCAGGGAATTATCAGGATCACTTGGCTAGTGAGACAGGACAAGGATTTCTAGTGATTTGTTGGGCATCAGTCTTATAAAATGATGAGCGTTGGTATTTGTTTTCTGGCAGCTTTCTGTGTAGGGCTCTCTTTAAAAGGAAACATGCTTGCCTCCCACTTTCAAGATTGGCTAGGCAAGGAAGACCCTCCAGAGGTACCTGTGAAGGGTGCTATCCTTACTCAGGCCCTGCCTTTCCCCACTCTCTGCAGTTTCCTCATCTATAAAATGGGTATAGAATCTATGCTTTTGGGTTGTTGTGGGGATTAAAGGAAATGAAAGTGAGGAGCCAGCAGGTAGGAGCCACCACTTAACATTAATTTCTTTTTCTTCTCACTTGTACCCATCTACATCCAAAATAATTTGATTCAGTTGGTTAAGGACTGTGCTTTTTACTCTCTGACCAGAGGTACTTCAACCTATATGTTGAAATTGACCATCACATTTTATAATTACTCCTATTTTAATATATCAATATTTATAAAAACCAGACTGCTTACTCCACGTTTGCTAATTTACTGCCATCTTACAGTGATGAACCTTCAAGTCCTCTTTGGTGCTTTATCACCCTACATTGACTGCATGTTCTGCAATGGCCTCTGAGTCTCATTCCTTACATCTCCAGTTTAGAATCATGGGCTGCCACCCAGGTCGCTGTGGCCATCTCCTAACTGACTCTTCACAGGCAGAATAGTTTTAACATACACTGTGTCTTAACGTTAAAATAACCCCTGTTTCACAGGCAAAGAAACAAAGGCTCAGAGAAATAACTTGTTTATATTTTGCAAGTATGCAAATATTGACTAAAGACCAGGAATGTCTCTTGTCCTCATTCAAAGCTCCATAATCAGATCTTCAAGTTCCTTCAACATTTTTCACAGCTGAAATTCTAGCCTTATCTCCAGGCATTCTAGTATTGCAGCCAAACTAGCTTACTCCCCACCCAGACGATTTTTATTTCTAACCATAACCTTGAAATGGGAATCATTTCAGGAATTCAAGAGAAAGAGAGAGGAAACTAGTTCTTGTTGTAGATACACTGCTGCTTACAGGTACTTAGGAGTTCCCAGAAATTTTACAATTTAGAGTTTACAGAACATCTTCAGGAATCTCTGATTGCCCTGGAAACAGACAGGAAGGACAGGGAAATGTCATCTAAGAGGTCTTATTTTTATTCTCTAGCATGGAAGTCCTTTTAGGTCAGGGACTATAACTTTTTTTAAAAAAAATCTATACCTTCCTTGCCTGTAGTTAGAAAGTGCTTACTATATATATGGTTGTTGAATTATGTCCCACTTGAAGGCACAGTTGGAAAGGAATGACAGTTGTGTATATTCATGGGGATGTCATTGTTAGTGGGATATAATCTGCTCCTCTTCCTCTCTTCCAAAGAAAGATGACTGACAGGACAGAGTAAAGGGAGGAGGTCCCTAGTCCTCTCACCACACCTTAGAGCTGTGGAAACTTCTACCATATATTTTAGAGAAGACCATTATTACTAAATTCTGGAGCTCTGAAGTATTCATTGTACCACCTTGTCTTTTTTTTTTTTGAAAAGGAAGTAATATTTACAACAGTCTTATTTATAATTTAAAAAACTTGATGAAAACAGCAGCATTGGCCTGACAAGACCCAGAGGAACCTCACATGTGCCTTAGTCAGTGGAGCAACCACTCAGAAAGGGCTGCAGATTATGATTCTAGCTCTTACCTTGTGCCAAAGGCCACACTATGGAGACAATAGAAAGATCAGTGGTCTCAAGTGTGGGGGTGGAGGAAGGTTTTCATGGCAGTGAACCTAAAATTGCTCTAAAAAATTACATTTTAATACAAATATGATGGTGTTAATTCTTTTACAGACTACTTTCTGCCCCTTTACCATTATTATTTTGGTTCAAGTCTCTATTAAAGAACTTACAGGTTTTTGTGTGGATACAGCCTTGAGGCAGCACCCATTCCACAGTCTTGAGACTAGCTTCCCTCTCTGGTCCCTGGGAGGACTGTCAAAATGTCGTCAAAATGGACTCTGTGTTTTGTCAGTAAGGGGAAGGCCTAGGAATATATGAGTACTTCCAACCACACTCATACAGTTTTGCAC